ATTCTAATAGTAGGTAGTTCAAACTGCCCGCATCTCAATCAAATTTTGACCTCCCAAATATAGTTCCAAAGTCAGTTTAAACAGTTAATCGACTCGCATCCGTTGCACAACCACGTGAATGAGCCCACAAGGCTTGGTAACCTGGAGACGTCGTCGATGCTGGATCTGGTACTAGCCAACGAAGAGCTTATTGTCGAATCCATCGATGTCTCGTCCCCCCCCCCCTTAGGACGCAGTGACCGTGCAGTATTGTTGTTTAAATATGTCTGCTACGCTTCGAAAGAAAGAAGTCCGCAAACCAACGCACATCTCGCCACGGACTATACTAGATTGCAGCATTTGGCTCACTGCACTCAGTGAATCTTTCCTGGAGCCGTAGGTGACCCAGTGGTCACCTGGAAAGCATTTACACACAGACTTACAAACCTGATCGCCTCAGTTACTAAGGTTGTCAGAAAATCAGGGGTCCAAAACTCGTCGATTCACAGCCGCACTAAGAAATGTCTCTGCGCAACCGATCTTGGCGAGTATACAATCGATTTTCAACCGACAGCACCTGGAATAAATATCGACAACTGCAAAACCATTGTGCCCAGTTGGTGTGGGAGGATAAGCTGAGGTACTAAGAAGTGCTCTCACGGAAGTTCATTTCCGACCCATCACTACTACACAAACATGTCAATACCCGCACTCAGCTGTCTTGGGAAGGTTGCCAGCCACACCCAGGAAGCAGCTGAGATGCTGAAAAACCAATATGCCCAAGTCTTCGACACACCTAACAACACGAGACTGCGGCTGCCTCGTCGGATACTCTTTCTTCCAAATCCACCACCGACTACCTTCACGTTCGATGCCGACAGAGTGAAATCAAAGCTTCTGAATCTACGTAAGTGTTCGGCTCCAAGTGCAGACAACCTAAATCTCCAGCCGCTGATTGCGTTAGCGAATCACATATCTGAGCTGCTAGCTTAATTTCTCTAATTTACAAAGGTGGCCGTCGTAGTGATCCTGCCAACTACCACCCGGTGACACTCCTACCCGTTCTATCCAAAGTCATGGAATCCATCGTGGCGGATTTCTTGATGGAACACTTGGAGAAATACGACCTACTTTCTCCAGCACAGTATGGATTCCGTCATGACAGATCACGTACTACCAATTTGCTTCTGGCCCGCGATGAATGGACAAAGGCGATCCAGTTGATGTGGTTTACCTGGACTTCTCCAAAGCGTTCGATCGGGTTGTTAGGTAAAAAGACTATTTCTACCTAAAACTGACTATTTTCGAGTAATTTCAATTAGGGGCATCTCGAATCAATACTAATCTCGCGGAGATTAATCAATGATATTGCGTCATACGGAAACATTCACTCTGTTCATCTGATCCGTGACCCATGACCGATTGAACTTTGCTAACTGTTTACTTGATTGGCACAATCTTTTTCTTGCCTTAGTCGATGCTATTTTGAGTCACATATACTCAGCTGCACAAGCTGTACCTCGAGCTTGATTGGATCGCTGCGTTTCTCCAACAACGGACCATGTCCGTTCGAGTCTCTAATTCACTGTCCGCCCCTATCGCCGTTTCTCGCGGAGTCCCCCAGGGTTCTGTGCTTAGTCCGCGACTTTTTTTCTTGTTCGTAAACGTCCCACCGAATGTCTTAAGACCAAAAACATCATTGTTTGCACACGACGACAAAATCTGGAAGACAGTGACAGACAGTGAGGGTTTTCTGGAACTCCAAGAAACACTAAATACAGCTCACAAATGGTCTATTGAGAAAGACATCCAATATAACGTCTCCAAATGCAAGGTAGTTCCGCTACGCCATCATGGGCGGTTTCCTTATTTCCTCGGAAACGAACTACTGCTTCATGCATCAACAGAGAAGGACTTGGGTGTTATAGTCCACGAATACCTGAGCTGTTCTGTTAACTGCGCCAGGGTGTTATCAACANGAGTCTACGTAAGTATTCGGCTCCAGGTGCAGACAACCTGCATCCCCAATCGCTTATTGCATTAGCGGATTGCATATATGCGCCGCTAGCTTTTCTGTTCCAAAGGATGTTTGACGCAACCGTGCTGCCTCAGGCGTATAAACAGGGCATAATTTCTCCAATTTACAAAGGCGGCCGTCGCAGTGATCCTGTC